GGATGTGAAAGTGGTTGATGAAGTCGTGCTTGAAGTGCTAGTTGTTGTGGAAGTTGTGCTTGAGGATGTTGTTGAGCTGCTGCTTGTGCTGCTTGTGGATGTTGAAGTGCTAGTTGTGCTAGTTGAGGATGTTGATGTTGATGATGAGGTTGTAGTTAAAGAACTTGTCGTCGATGTTGTTGTTGAGCTGCTAGACGTTGTGCTTGTTGAAGTTGAGCTAGTTGTTGTGGATGATGTCAAAGTGGTGGTGCTTGAGGTGCTTGTTGAAGACGTACTTGTGGATGTGGATGTTGTGGTCGAGGTAACACTTGAGGTGCCTGAAATCTCGGGACTGGGAAAAAATGTGACAACAGTGACAAAAGCATACAACTGCATGCGTGTGTAAATTGCAACTGCAAGTGCAAGTGCCTCCATGCTGTTCCTTCGTTCCTACACTTTTGCAGGTCAGCTGCTACTGGTAGATGTTGAGCTGCTTGTCGTACTGGAAGTGCTAGAGGTGCTTGTGGAGCTGGAAGAAGTCTTGGCCAACAACATGAGTTGCACCAGGCAAAATCCCTCCGACTTTCTCACATTCAAAACTGCCACGCGACAACAAAACAATGAATGAAAGCTAGACACGCTTGTGGTCGACGTACTGCTGGAGCTTGTGGTGGAACTCCTGTAAAAACAAACAAAACAGAACATGATCAACATGTTGCAGATCGCGGGAACTTTTGAGAACGTCGATGAGGGCAAACGTGCAAGTGAAGCGTAAAGGACCCAACAAACTGCCAAAGAAACAAGAACACATGGGCAAATCAAATGACGTTCGTTCGTGTACAGTCTTCGGAACAACTCTCCTGGTACTTGTTGTTGTCGAGCCTTAAGCCACAGATTTTGGACACACACTCACACAGAGAGTGGACTCACATCTATTGACTTTGAATGACTTTGCAGTCTGGCTGTGGAAATCAATGAACTCAGCAACAGCTTGATCTCGTGGTCATGAAAAGCCTCACTCCATGCCATCTTGCATGTTGAAGTGCTCGCGAAGTGTTAAACGGACAGACTAAAGTTCTGCACTTGTCCCATCGAAAGCCAGGGTTCTAGTGGACGAAGTTGAAGAAGTACTGAAAGTCTTCGTCGATGTCGTGGTTGTTCTACCTCAGACTCCAAAGTGCACTGCCGAGGCGAGGCGACACCATTTTTTGCATCTTCGATGGTGGAGAAACTGATGAGACTTGGAGACGTTCAGCAAGCTCTATATAATCCAATAGTACCGCTGATGGGAAATTATCTACGTATCCGGTAGTGTATTCTATGTGTCTGTATCTGTATATATTTATATATAGTTAGTATAGTCCGTTGTTGCACTGATTGCAAGGAATATAGCCGAAAGAGTGCCATGACCTGACCACAGAAACACAAAAGCATGTTTCGCTCTGTCAATGTTGATCCGGAGGGCTTCACTCTATCTCGGTCATGGTTGGACTCTGCGCTCCCTGATTCATTGCAACAAGCCAGCAGCTGCCAACCCAAGCCATAGGTTTTGTATAGTTCTGCCAGAAACAAGTAATCCATGCGCTTGAGACGGCCCTTCTGAGATTGGCAAAGCATGCTTCACAGTGGATCGTCTTTCTGGTGAGCTCGGACATGATGATGATTTTCTAGATTGGTACTTGAAGCGCTTGCTTCGGGTGGGCACCGCAGCTAGCGGGCATAGGAAACATTAAGTTGGCACTCAAGATCGATGACTCCAAATCAGCTTGGCGGCACTGCGAGTCAGGTAGTTCAGCTATCAAAGTTCCACCGTATGTGCGCCAGGATGTCGATGTGTTTGACCCGGACCAATTGCTCGCCAAAGGTACCTGGCCAATAAAAAAACACAAGCCGAGGTGTTACTACAGAACACGTGCAAGGCCTCAACTCTAAATGGCTTCGATTCACTCCGATTTCCCAATTAACTTTGTGGGCTCTTATTTTGTGATTTGCAAGGCGGTTCAAGAGTATCCAAAGTACAGTATGTTCGACTTGGCCCACTGTGAGAAACTCACTTGTTTCTAAGCAAAGCTTGTGAAACCAACAAGGTCATCCGTTTTGATCGTTTTGTGAACAACACCAAGTAGCGAGTCTCGTACCGCGAGGGCGCCTTTTGATAGCGAAAACAGGCAATCCTTTGGAGTCTGAAGAGGGCATCATGTTGGCCTCTTCTTCGGGCATATTGATCTCTGGAGAAGCCTGCCAAAACATGCCAGCGAGGCATAAGCGCACTGCTGTGCATGGCTCATTGCCCAAAGGATGGAAAGGATGAAGCCTGGGAGAATCATCAGTGTGATCGTCTTGACTGACTCTTGACAAAGTCGCCGATACGCTCTTAAGGAAGTCATTGATCGATTCTAAGCTTGGGGGCATGGATCTTGACAACATTGGATCTCTGACTATTGGTTCTGAGGGCTGAGACAGTCCCTCATGCGAGCATGCATTCTGTGAGAGCAACTGAGATTCCCTGCATTTCATCAGCTCGCGTTCGCGAGGAAAGCAACATCCCTGAACCCCAAACGGATCCTAAACGGCATCAAAGTCGCAGCTCCTTCCCTTGCTTACGCTCGCAGCACATCCGTTCAATGGGGTGCACAACACACCACGTCCTTTTGCTGTGCCGCCCCCTACATCATCTTACCATACGAGGTAGTTCTCCGGCAGAGTCAGTGGGCAGGGGCAGGCGTTTGAATGTGATATGTGTGATGAATATAGTTGATGATCTGTTGAGTGATGTTGGGTCATATGATGATGTCTGATTTGTTTGTTTGCAATGTGGCGAAGCGAAGTGTGTTGCAGTGTCTTGTGATGAAAAGGCGTGCTCTGTGATGTGATGTGTCTTCTTGAACAATAGAAACCTAATAGCGATGGCCTCCAACCTGCTAGAGATCGATGGCCTCCAACCTACGGCAATATTTGTGGTGACAATTTGCTATGAAGCTCTGCTCTTGCCCACTTTGCTCTGGAAATCTCTAGTTGTCTCTAAAAAATGCCCTCGGCTACTACCTTCGGTTACTTGCCTTTAAGAGCAACTACGTCCAGCTAATTTTGTTTAGAAAGCTTTACTTTTGCTTACAGTTATTGTCTCAGCAAAGCGCTACTGTTGGCTTTATTTTATCGATCGCTACTTTTGGCTACTCTTCGCTAGAAAGGCTCTGCTCTTGGCTACTTTGCGCTAAAGGCTACTTTTCGCTAGAAAGCTCTACTTGTGGCCACTTTCTCTAGACATCTCTACTCGTCTATATATCTCTATATACTGGTTACTGTTCAATTGAAATCTCTACTGTACTTGTTTGATTCTTTTCTCTTGAAACCCCTTTTGTTGGTTATACTTCTCTAGAAATTTGTACTCGCAACTCCCAATAATTTCTCGCCAGAAATCGCTACATTTGGTTATCCTCAGGATCTGTTCACGAACGGCAGCGCTCTAGAATTTGCCTGCCATCAGAATCAGCCTGGGCTCGTCTGCACACCTCCCACAATTGTCCCGATAGTGTTGCTCTCTGACTGCTCTCATACTTGTGCGCCCACAATCAAGGACATGCCATCAAAAAGACTTCACTCAGAAATGGTTTGTCGATTCTTCCATTTTGACTAGCACTTGCTGAGGGCATGTCTAGTTACAGTATCACTTGGCCGCGCCCTTTTTCTGCTGCAGCCCTACGGATAACAATCTCGGAGAAGTGCAAAGGGCTTGCTTCACGACAGACTACCTGAAGCACTTCCAAGCGTCTTCAGGTAGAGAAACTGTATGACAAGCTACTCGAATGGCTGCAAGAGGAGGTGCTTTGTCAACTAAAACATGTACAACTGCGTTAATTTCATGCAAGTGTAGCCCATGCGTGCAACGTACTAGCTGCTCTGTTCACAGGTCTCGTCCCTCTTCCTGGCGATCGCGCACAAAATCAGCCAGAGACATAGCAGCAACTTGGAAGACTGCACTGGAACCAAAGGAGGATGTACCTGTTTGTTGTGTTCAGACGATGATGACGTGTCAGAGTGCTGATGAAGACTTTTTGTATTCTGCACCCTCAGACTCTCAACCCCTGAGGCTCATACGTCCAGCTCCTTCATCTTGGACCTGCGCATTGGCACAGCGCAACGCAAGATGAAGAGTTTTGGAATGTGTTGGATAGTTTCGCTTTCTGGATTAGTTTTGTTTTGGCTTGCTACAAGTCCAGTAATCCCAGAGCAACTGCTCAAAAGGAGGAGGAAGCAATTGCCTTGCATAGTGTTACTGTGAAGCAATTCATCAGCCTTCCGGCCAGGAGGAGAATTATAGTAAACTGTTGGATCCTTCAATAAGGCCCCCTTGAAAGTCGCCTTACTGAAGGGACCAAAAAACCCTTCGATTTCTACTCTCCTTTTTCTCTTCTTCCGACATTCCTTCCTCAATTTGGAGGTTGGGTGTGGCGGCGTGGACAAGCCGCCTTGCACAAACCACGTTAATTGTCTCATAAAGAGATACTCAGATAGACGTTTGAAAGCCTTGGAGTTTGACCCCAGGCTATCAAAGCTGCGCTGACAAATCTGCAAGGACGAAGACGCAAACGTGTCACCCACTCATTTACAGTGTGTCAAGAACCGGGCTCTCAAGCTAGGGATTCCAAGACATCCAAAGTCGGTTGCTCCAGCAAGTGAGCCTAAAGATTAGATACAAAGGTAAAATGAGATGTTGGTGCAGATAATTTCGGATAAAGCAACCCTGTGTGCAAATAATCAAAACATCGATGCTCTGGGTTGTCTTCGTAGGACACCATCTTAGTCTGATATACAAGTTTCTCAACAATGGATTCGATGTGTTTCTGCGTCAATAGCAAGAGATGTCTGTCAGCATATGCTGCGACTCACTCCGTCGATCAAGCGCTCGAACGGCAGGGAGATATCATGAAAGCAAAAAACACCATGCCATGCTGCAAGCAAAACCTTGAGTCAATCAACGGCTATTCATCACTTTTGCTGCAAAAACCGCAGTGGGTAGTTGCCAGAGGTTGCAGTTTCATTGCCGCACGGCAAGGGCAGGCGCAAGTTCCACAGTCCGGCTTGTTTGGAGCAGGAGTCTGGCTAGAAGCTCATCTCGGCTAGCTGCTCTTCAAAATTAACAAGTCGCCAGGATTAATATCTTGCAGATTCTTCTAGGAGTGAACCAGTTTAAGGCAGCAACTCTCCCTTTCACCAGTTTCGGGGCATCTACATACTACCCGAAAATTGGATTGGTGATTAGAGTGTGCACACCTCCTCAGAAAGAGGATGCGTTTCCCGGCAGGTCAATAGCTCTGTCTGAACAATTTGTGTATCGGAGAATGACTAGACTACGCCAGGGTCGGGACGATGGAACTACCAAACTAGCCATCACTTGTGTTCCAGAACATCCATCAACAGCCGCAAGTTCGTTAGCGGCATTGTGGGCTTCGTGTGGGACAGCTCTGTCCATCTCAAGCGCACTTTGCGCTGCATCTCATGTGTAGTCTTTGGATTCCGGAGACAGTGGTTCCTAAGCTTCGTGAGCTGTAGCTTCATGGAACAGCAGCCATGACAGGATACGGCAAGCATGCGTTTGCCAAATGAGCTACATTACGAAACAGCTGAGCTACCAATAAAGAATGATCACTGTAGAAATCCGACGTGGCACAACATCACTTCTCCTACCTAGCATGTCCATGGAAAGCACGACCGTTCAAGGCTCCAATGCTAGACAAACATGGGCTGTTCATTCGTTCGGTTGGTTTGTTGGAGTTCCCCGGCATCTGAGCTTGAAAGTTTACTTTGCGCCAGATGCTCCCCAACAACCAGCTGCGACTTCGTGGCAACATCTTCCCATCCCGACAAGCATCACTGGGGCGGCGGTCACCAGGCAATCGCAACCTGTGCTGCTGCCATTCCACAAGCCCAAACAGCTGAGGGTATACAGGGTGACGTTTAGGCATCCCCTAGGATGTGTGGCCCACCTTTGGACCAGTGTTAACTGCACCCGAAGAGGCCCAACTGACCTGGTGCTCGTTTTGTGTGTGTGTGCGTTTGTCTGTGCGCTTCCTTTCAAATGCATTGCAAAGCCATCAGCAAGTCCACAACCTGCACGCACAAGAGTTCAAAAGAAGAGCATGAAGTTTTGAATAGAGAGAGAAAGAGAGAGAGAGAGTGAGAGAGCGAGAGAGAGCCCTTGAGGAGGCAAACACAGCATTCCATTCCAAGCACAAAGGACACATCTGGAACGAAGTGTAAACTGTTTTGGTGTTCTTTTGTTCTGGGACACCCATTCCCCCGTCTTTTCGTCTTGTAAACTCTTGACTGAGGGAACATTGTTTGAGACTGAAGAGCACAGGTTCAAAACAACCTGTCGCAAATGAAGCCTGCAAACGATGTTCAAGTGGATCAACTGCCACCAAGGGCGCTTGACGTGTGGGAAGCGTTTTTGAAAGAATTCAATCTCCTCATCGGTACCAACGTTGGAGATCCATCTGGCAACGTCCTGGCGCTCCAGCCAGACTTGGTCAATTTGCTTGACAGGATGCACCCCATGAAAATACATTCAGCAAGGATCAGCCAGGAACCACACCGGCTAACTTTTTCATGGCTCTTTCACCCTTCCTGGCTTGTTTTTGGAGAAGCAGCCATCATGAGAGCCACAGAAAATGATGTTGCATCGCCCGGATTGGACAATCCACAACTTGAACTTGATTGATGCCAGAGAACCAGAAGGAAGAAGAGTGCAGCTTGGAAGCAATTGCAAGCCCAGCAGTGTGTAGTGTTTCATGCAAAATGCCATCGACCTTCCCTGGTACCAGAAGAATGTACAGTAATAGAATACCGTAATTATTAGTAGTAACAAGAAGCTATTAGAAACAAGTGCCACGCTACTAATAATGTTCAAACCTCTCAGGCTTCCCTCCGGGTGAAGCTTCGGATAGCCAAACGCGCCCAGCTCCTGCAAATGTTGTTCAGGTTCTTCTCTCAGCTTGGGAATTGACCTGACAGTGGAGCACGACAAAGCATAAGCATCAAGTAACTTCTCTTGAGCAAACAGCAATATCGATTGAAGTGCCATTGTTTCCTGAGCAATGTGATGCAAATAAAAGGCCTACAGAATTCCCCCCTGCCACTGGCTTTGCAGTACGTAGGACTGTTTTGGACATTAGAAGGGACTCAATGCAGGTTGCGCACAATTGGAACCCTGTTGGAACTCCCTCAAGGCAACTGCCCTGCAATGGACAGTATATTGCAGTTGCTTGCTACAGTTGGAAAACAATTTTGGAATCTGGCAGGGTAGTATGCACCGCTCACTTTCTCAAAAGAGGTCTACCATTGAGCACACTTCTTGGACAATACAAAGCAATGAACAATTTGAGACTATTCGAGTCCACATTAAAGAGTGTCGTCCCCTTTTCCAGCTGTTTGGATTCTGAATTCGGAATGTGTTCCCCATGAACAAAGGCTCCTTCTGACAAATGTTCATCTGACATCTGCTCAGCTGTTCAAGCGTTGCTTGTTTGTCCACCATCCAAGAATCAATCCTCAAGATTTCAGGAAAAGCTTGCCTTGACTTTAGAACCTGTCTCTTGGATAGTGAGGAGACCGGCATCCAGCGAGACTGTAGTTTGTAACAAGCATGTACAAACTGGCCTGCCAAATTGCTTGTACACAAAGGGTTGCACAGACTGACTGAAGTTTCTGGCCTGTCCAGAACGTTCGCGATGAAGCGTTGAGCTATGCCACTGAAGAGCTTGGCTCCTCGATAATCCTGAGAATCTACAGATTCCACACAAATCCGCAAGATCAAAAAACATAAAGAGCCCAGCAGTACACACCCACAAAAATCAATTGTAATATTTCTGCTGTTTTTAGGCCCGGAGGCCGCTAGGAGGATTAGGTAGCTACTAGCTACAAGTTCGCTCCTAGGACACAGGATAGCTCATGCTTCTTCAAGGAAGCTCCCCCGCCTGAGGGCAGGGGGAGCTGCGTTGAAGCCCTCACTAATCTTTTGATTTTTAGGGAAACTTGACTAATAGCAATGCCATGCACTGTCTGTACTGTATGCTGCGATCCACTGCAAACAGTCTGAACCTATCACAAGCGTGCGCGCGGCCGCTACAATATTCCTTTGAAGCCGCAGCACATCAAAGGCCAGACTGCGCCATTTCGACGGACCTATCGAAATCGTGTTCATTGCTCGCGCACGCGTGGACGATCTTTTCCTGTAGCTTTCGGGCGTTCCTAAGGAGCTTGAGCTTACCTACTTACCCTGAAAGATTCGAGCGTCTGAAAACTTTGGGTTGGTCCGGTCTTTCAAAAACAACAAAAAACGTCTCAGTCTACACCTCGTCTACGGCCCATGTCTGCATCAGCGCTGGGACTGTTATTCTGCCGTGTTCGGAACTTTGTTTCGAAACGCCTGTTGTACGGGGATTTGCGTGAGGTTTGTTGTCCTCAGTGATCCGCAAGTGTTCGGCATCAAACTGGACAAGCATCCGGATGGCCCTCGGTCAACATCCCGCGTAACTTCTTGCACATATCCTGTCAAGCTACAGATTTCACGAGAAGCATGTTCTTGGCAGGGATTGTCAATTTGCAATCCACAGGTTGAAACGTTACCATCAAAATGTGTGATGGACTCAAAAAAACATGTCTTCACGCTGTACATATTCCTGACGTTTTTCAGCCACTCCTCAATGAAGACGTCCGTCTCTTTTGCATCTGTTTCAATCATAATCTTGATCTGATCCGGTGTGTACTTCAGCCTCTTCGACACTGGATGCCTGCACCCAGACAATCAATCTTTGTTCCAAACGACTGCTTCAAACCATGCGGAAAAATACTTTTTAAGTTCCTCTGTGGTTCAAAAAAGCATTGCAGGGACTCTTCACAGAGGGCCCGTTCTCCTTTGGTCAAAAGAAAATGTTCAGTTGTTCAGTTGCGGCTGGCCGCGAAGCCAGGGAGTGCTGTACCAACATTGCACCGTTTGAACAAAATCCTGTGGGCAAAACGAGGGTCCATCAGGACAGGGCTGGGCCTATTGATCAGCATCAAGGCCAAATCAGCACAAAAAGCTCCGAGCGCAAAGCAAGTGCCAGCCACTAACCAAGCCGCATTCATGCGAGAACGGTCCTGCGAAAACCAAAAGACTGGCAGGACTGCAAAAAAAACGACATTAGTTTCTTGCAATTTTTACTACTAAAAAATATACGTATACTGAAAGCGCGGGCGCAGGTTTTCCGCTAAAAGGCTTTGGGCCTAAAATGCCCAGTCATGAACAGTTCAACCTCATGTCTGAGTGACTGTGTCTCGTTTGTCCGTCATATTCTGTCACTCCTCCTTCGCTCAGACATGTGGTACAGAGCTTTATGGGTTGCCCTGGCATAAAGTGTGGGCACCCTACTGCAAAATGCAGCACTCTGCCGGATGGTGTCATCCGCAGTCTGTGCAACTGCCTTTCGAGCTGGGAGCTGCGTTTTTCGGCTATCTCCCGCTCCTGCAGAAATTCAGCCAGGTGTCCCTTCATCTTCTCAATGCTCTGTTCGAGCTCTTCTATGTAGGTGTCCTTCAGGAAGAGCTCATTTGCAGCTAACTCGAGTTCTCGTTCGAGTCGTGCATTTGGCACTGACACTTGGGACTCTTGGTCAGCCCTTTCCACCTGTACGTTCAGGCTGAACTTCTTGACCCACTTCATCACTTTCTCAATCTTCAGGATGAAGTCCTTCGTGCCATCTAGGAACCCCTGGACATAGTTCCATAGCCCTCTAGTCAGGCTCAAGGCCCCGATGCAAGCAAGTGTGCATAGCATCATCCACGTCCAATCACCTTCTTCTGGCTCCTTCTTTTCTGTCGAGGTGCTTCCGACCTTGTTGATCGTGGCTAGCAGCATCAAAAGCCCGATCCGTAGATCCTTGCTCTTTCCAAACTTCTTCATTCCTTGCTTCACTCTGTGCTGCTCCTCGATCTCCCGGAACTCTTGCTCACCTACGCGGTCACCCACGGCGTCCACCATGTGCAGCATGTATTGCAGGCCTTTCAACCTCTTCTTCGGCAGGTTCTTGGTGCCGATGTCAGCGCTGTTGAGGTCTGTCGGGATCGCGGCCACGGTCAAGACCTTCTCTCGCTCCTTCTGCTGTATCCACAGCATTGAGGCATCTATGTGCCTGACTCGTCCAATGCCTTGCCGCTGGGTCATTCCTCTGGCTGCTGAGCTGTCGGACCTTGCTTTCATCTGGCAATCTCCTCCTGTGATCTTGTTCCATAGGTGTCTTGCCAGCAGACCTTCCGAGCATCCTGCTACCAATGCCATGAACTCACTCTCTCCCGATGAGAGCGCAATGGCTTTCTGGCTCCTGACTTTGCTGTCGATGAGGTTGCCGTCGATGAAGATTTGCATGGAGGTCGTCGATCTGCGGTCATTTTTGTTCCCTGCAGGTCTGAATCAGTGACCACTTCTACCAGATGCTGTGGAGCTTCTTCCACCTCCTCAATCTCTCTGAAATCCATCACCGACTGGCCTTTCTTCCTCTCTTCGAGCCTCACTCCATATCCACCTGTCCCAAAGAGGTAGGAGCAGGTATGCCAGGCGTTCTTCAGGGCATTCTTTGTAGGCTTTGCCATATGGCGTGCTAGGCACTGGATGGCATACTGTGCGTCTGGTCGCTCTCCAGCCCTGTACATGAGCCGCCCCACGATGCTCCTGTACTTCGTGATCTCCGCTCCTTCAAGTTCTGCAGAGTCATCCTTCTTCGTGAAGTTTGCATCCAAAGGGGTCTTTCTGTAGAATCTGGAGTAGATGTCAACCTCTTTCTCAAAACTATCATATTGTTTCCTGTCGCACCTTATGTCGCAGTGCCTCATGCCCAGATTGAACTGCCTCTTCAGATAGAAGAACTTGTCGCCTTGTCGGAATGGGCCTTTCTCCTCCACGTTCCACTTCTTCTCCTCCTTGAAGTATTGGATCAGTTCCCTCACTTTGTCTTCTCGTCCCACCATGAACACATCGTCCACGTGGACTGTGAGGTACAGGAGGTTTTCCATCATCATCAGTGTGGGCTGCATCAAATCTTGCTGCATGCCAAACTCCTTGCACGCAGCTGCAAACAGGCCAAACCATTGCGATGCGGCTGTCTTCTGGCCTGTGAGACATCTGAGCAGCTTGTAGATGTGCTCTTCGATCTGGATGTAGGCCTTTTCTGTGGCCGGCTGTGCTGCCATCAAGAATGCATCTTTGATGTCCAATGTAACTACCACAAATTCGCTCCTTGCATTCAGCAGATAGTGCATCAGCATCTTCGGCAGCAACATCATAGATGTAGGAGCAAATGTGGCTTCCAAGTCTATGCTATTCTTGAACTGCCTGGCCACAAGTCTTGCCCTTCTAAACCATCCACCTCTCTCCAGGCGATGTTTCCAGCACATTACCATCTTCGTGCTGATGATATATCCTTCATCTTGCTCAACCTCTGCCTTCTGCACTTCTATCATTGCAGGCATCTCCAACATCCTCTGGATCTCTGTGTTGCGAGCTTCCTTGTCGAGTGTCTCCAATTCTTCGTCGCTCACCTCTGGGGGATCGTCTCCTTCTTCACCACCATATCCCATCAACTGCTCTTCAATCACGTCCTCTGGCATCAGTTCCATGTCCACATCTTCGTCCCCATGAGGCTCCACACCGATCGCACCAACTCCTGCATAGTGTGGTGGGTATAGGTGTCCCATGTTGTGTGACGGTGACATCCTTGGTGATCCCTCTGGCTCTGCCATCATTCGCTCATTTTCACGATGATGATGACCACCTTCAGCTCGGCTCTTCTTCTCATCACCTTCTTCCGCCGCTTCCGCTTGTCTCTTCCCGGCTTGCTTTCTCGGAGACTCTGATGCATCGAGTTTCTTGGATTCTCGCTCACCTTCACTCTTCTCCTCCTCGGACAATTGCCTCTTCTCTGCAGCCTTTGGTGGTGTCCTCGATGCTTCGACTTTCGATGGTCCTGTCATGGTCAGCGTAATGCCTGGCGTTATGGGTTGACATCCTGGTGCGGGTGTGACGACCCCAGTGGCCACGTCCTGAGCAATAGCTGTGAGCTCCTCTTCACTGGCCTCCATCTCCAATGTTGGCTGTCGGTATCGTTGGGCTTGTCCAGCATGCTTCATCAATATTCCTTGTGCAGAGTAACTCCAGGGCAATCCTTTTGCAGTGAAGATCTCTGGGCCGTTGAAACTATCCTCGGGGTGCCAGTCTGCGAATTGTCCTTGACTCATAGGCTCCATTGTGGGTAGCAGCACATGATTGTCATTCCACGGGTGCTTTGTCACCCAGACGCCCTTCTCAAACACTGCACTGCCCTTGTTCCTGACTGCACGTTTGAACAGCACGTTTTCACCGAACAAAGCCAACTTTCCCCGATAGGGATGTCCAGTCGCCAGTTCAAAGCTCGTTCTGCTGACCCCATCAAGCACTCTAAATCTGTTGATCACGAAGGATGCGTGCTTGAATGACCATGGGTAGATGTCGAAGTCTCCTTCGATGTTGATGCGAGCCTTGTCTTCTGCATACCATCGTAAACAGTTCGCCATTTTCCTGACTGTTTGCACCGCCCGCTCAACCTGACCATTTGAGGCGTGTTGTCCAGCTCCTGTCAATCGGATCTCCGTCTTCATGCCGAGCACGTTCCTGACTTGTTGCGCGGACCTCAGGATCTGCCTGGTTGCTCTCTCGCTATCGGCCTGAATGACGCAAGCGTCACGGGCAGAATTTTCCAGAGCGAACCTGACAATCTCTTCCGTGATGGTCTTAAGGCTGGCGCTGCCTTTGCTCGGTACAGGAACTGCATGAATGGCCTTTGTCTCAGAACTTGTCATCACCAGTACTGTTCCATGTTGGTCCTGCCTTTCCACCACTTTATCCTGTACTGGCTTTTCTGATCTGTCTTCTTCTCCCGTGTACGTGTAGCAAAAGTCGATTTGGATGATGTTCTTTCCGATGTCTTCCTTATTCTCGGACTTCTCATGCTTGTCCTCCTTTGACCGACTTGCTACACAGGCTTGGCACCATGAAGCGAATGGCCAGTAAGTCACATTGCGCAACTCCTGCTCAGCCAAACTTGGGAGTTTCGGTTGGCCAAGTGTAACTGGCCTTCTTCTCTGCTCATTGTAGAGCTTGCTTGCCACCGCCAGGTCCATTTGATTCTCGAGGTTCACCTTAAAAGCCACCAGCCTTTCCAGTAGCTTCTTCTTGCTCCCGGTATGTGCTAGTTGCCGTTCCTTGCATGCCATCTGAAGCTCCTTCACTGACATCTTCTCCGAGAAGGTGACCTCATCTAACTCTACTTCATGCGGTCGCTCAGCAACTACCATCTTCTCAACATCATGGTACATCTCCTGGGCTTCCAACTCCTCAATTTCTTCTCCCTCATCCTCTGACCATTCGAGGTGCCCAAAAGTTCCATCTGTCAGAGGATATGGCGCCACTGGCACTTCACTGCCTGGTTCCCAGTAGTCTTTGAAGTGCTCCGGTGAGAAGAAGCTCAGCGTCCGCTGGGGCTCTGTTGTCAGGCTGATCCTCCGAAACGCTCTTGGCCCCAACATGCTAGTCTTCGGTCTTCTCGAGCTGCTCCCATAGTCCATCCTTCCCTTTGACCAATGTCAGTCGTGCTTTGTAGATCTTCTCGATGCTCCCCGTAGGGTCGACCAATTGCGTCGCCACCGGGTCACTGTAGACTGCTACTCCATTTGGCAATCTGTGCCAGCCGGGAGTCATTTCCAGCTCTTGGACGTACTTGCTCAAGTAGCCTTGCAGCACCTGAACTCTTGCAGCATCCTCCTTCTCATCTGTCTTCTCCTTCGGTTCTTGCTTCTCCTCCTTTTGTACGGCACAGATCCTTGCCTCACATTGAAGCGAATTCCTTTCTGTGTTCAAGGGGATGTTCACTGCTCTGCCTTCGTGTCTCAGGTGCAGGCTTCCTTGAACCTCTCCCAATGACCATCCTCTCTTCAGCAGTTTCCCTGCACATAGGATGGGATGTTGCACACGACCCAAGGCGAAGTCCTCATAGATCTCGACAATCTTTCCTGTTCGGTCTGTCATCCTGACTTTTGCACGTGTCATACCACTGTGCGGGATCTTCTTTCCT